TTGTATTTTTAAAAATCCTGTTCTTGTCTCTGAGTAACAGGTCATTTATTTAAGCCATGAAATAAACTTCATTGCACAAAAAGCATTTCAAACGTCTCCAGCACATTTTATAATACCCAACATTTTTTAGAGATTTTGACCATGGCAATAGTGCATATAAAAAACATACCCTCGTAGTGCAAGTCCGTGCACTGAGCATCTGAATGGCACTGTCCATTATCTTGTAGACAGCGATTGACTGGCAACTGCTTCACTTCACACTCAATCCCATCGCCAATATAGTTGTCTTTACACTCACACCTCCTCTTTCCCTGGTGACAAATGCACATTGCATATGTTTATGGATGTGTAAAGGTTTATGTATCTGTATAAAGATCACATTCTCTTAAAAGAGCTATAATAAGAGAAAGGTCTGCTTACAGCTCCAATCATGGTGCAGGTAGCGTGTTCGTGACACCCACCGTTTTCACCATCAGCACAGGGGTCGACCGGTGAGCACTCAAAGCCATCGCCAGAGAAATCTTTGAAACACGTACAGTTCACGTACAGCTCCCCCTTCTGACTGCATTTAGCATCCTTAGAACAGCCACCGTTCCAGTACTTGCACATACTGGCCGCTGCCAAAGAGGTAAGAGTGAGTGGATGGTTTACTTTTGTTTTATCATCACTTTTGCTATTGAGATCTTCATGTATGTACCTGTGCAGGTGATACCATCTCCTTCATAGAAGGGTTTACAGACACAGGTGTTATTCTCCATGCAGACGCCCTTCTCATGGCAAGCCGGATTGCAGACAGGACCATCGGCTGAAACATCAGAAACACATGAAATGGACTTACAAGGTATAAAGCAATGCTTGTCTTTTTCTAGTCTGGTATATAACCCAAAAACAAAAGAATAACCAGAAGGTCTGTACCTAGTTTGTTCTCACATCGTGGACCAGTCCAGCCCTGTTCACAAAAACACGAACCTGTACCTTTAGGACTCTCATCACACGACCCATGTTCTGTACAGTTGCAGGCTTAGGAAGAGGAAACAAACCAAGTTCATAATTATATAATATATATCATTTTTTATATAGTCAATTCAAATTAATTTTGAAAAGGCTCACCTTTGCAATCTGGTCCAAAATGGCCATCCACACACAGCTCACAGGCTACACCTGTGAATCCAGCATCGCAAGTGCAGGTGCCATTGCCTAAGTGATCCTCGTCACACTTGCCATGGTTACTGCAAGGAGATCCTGGACCCCCAGGACATGCTGGAGAACAGGAAAATGTTCTTATCAACTGGCAAAATAACTGCTATAAAAAGTCTACATATCCCTGTTAAAATTGCAGGTTTTTGAGATGTAAAAAATTGAATGGTTAATATGTTCTATTTGTACATATCAAAAGGGGTGTGTATACTTGTAGCCATTGTATTATATTTAACCAGCATAGCTCAATAGTTTGAACTGGGGTCTATGTCAGCTGTTTACTGTGAATAGTACAGCGAGACACTGCTTACCAAGACAGTCTCTGCCGTAGTACCCAGAACAGCACTTGGGCTTCCATATGACCACTGTACATGTTGACTGACATCCTGAATACCTAGACATCAGCGAATCCGGAAGGACACACTTTTGTTCTGACTAGATTGAAAACACAGCTGAATTAGTGTTCTGTCTTTAATACAGTATCCAATTAACTAGATTTAAATGAGGCTTTAATCCATGGCTGTTATGCTAGTTTACTCCTACAAGTTACATCGTCAATGTAAAAGTTTGGTGTCATATATGTAAAATGTTTTTGAAGAAGTCTCTTATGCTTATAAAGGCTGAATTCATTTGATGAAAAATACAGTAAAGGTTAAATAATATATTACAATTAAAAAGAACTACTTTCTATTTTAATATATATATATATATATATATGTTTAAATTTATTTCTGTGATGCAATGCTGAATTTTCAAAAGCCATTACTCCAGTCTTAAATGTCACATGATCCTTCAGAAATCATACTAATATGCTGATTTGGTGCTCAAGAAACATTATATTATTATTAACACTGAAAACAGTGCTTCTTACTATGTTTGTGTATATTATCATAATATTTCAAGATCTGTTTTTTCAGGATCCTTTTATGAAAAGTAAATAAAGCCACGGCAGACTAAATAGAGGGCAAATCTTAAGAAATATTTTTCTCCATAATATAAAAAAGTAAGGTTTGGCTTTGAATGAAAATAAAAAGTACCTTTGGCTTGCTTCCAAGTGGGCAATCCGAAATAGTACGACCACAATACCTGCATGCCAACTATTGCACCAAAAGAAAAAAAAAATGCACAATGTTTTTCAAGATACTGAAACAAGGAAGAAAGATACATTTGATCTGATTACTTTAGCATTGATGCAAACTGCACACTACATACTATACTCATTGTACAATGTACTACAAGTACTTCTTAGATGTAATAATAATAATGTAATAATAATAATAATAATGTAATAAATGCTTTGAACTTCACTTAGACTTACAGTGAAATCAATGGTGTGCTTATAGTCACAGCGCCCCCCGATGCTCGGAGGATTCAGCAGACAGTCAATGCCATAAATCATGCCTCCATTGAAATCAAGGTTTCTCTTTACAATCCGACAGCTTTTATGGTTCACATAAAGCTCTCCCTGAGAGATAAATATGCATGATATGATGCACAGTGATTAAAGAAACAGCTATATGAATGTACAAGCCAAATGTTATTTTTTCCCTCCAAAAGTACTCACTATATGCTCTTCCCCCATGCAGGCCACTGACAGATCTGAGCCCTGCTGAGTCTTTAAAGAACTGGCATGGATGAGCTCTGAGGGCAGGAGCTAGTGGACACAATAAATTGCGATACATTTAAACGATGCATTAGGGAGTCAACACTGAATTTCCTGTTATACTATATTAGTCTTGATCATTAATACAGCCATGCTCCTTCCAAAAAATTCAACATACTGGATACAGACCAACCTTGGTGTCACGCACGATGTGGTATCTAAGATACTCAGCTAGCTGATCACGGTTATGCATCGCATACAGGAAGTCTTTCTGCTCTTGGGCAAGGGCACTCATTGTAGCATCCGTGGGCAGGAACAGGGTGACAGGCTGATGAATTGGATCCATCACCAACTTCAACGTATCTGTGTCCTTTAAACAAACAAGGTAATATAAGGCTTGGATTTCATTAGAAAGTAGAGGGTTCTTCTAAAAATAACACATAAAAATTTTTTTTTTTTTGTGGAGAGGATTTTATTAGAAAGAAATACATATTTTTGCTTCTTTTTTTTTTTTTTACCTCCAGAAGCTTGTTGAATGTCTTGAAGCCATGGAGACTGACCACATCTGAGAGGTTACGCTTTCAGAAAAAAAAAAGACAGTGACAACAAAATTTAAAAATCTGTGTAATTTCATAATTTCATGCTTGATTATTACTCTTGTCATTACAAAATAAATAAAGAATGTTGTCAGAGTAATCGGGGACATACTGGTGTGCTGTCTTGTTCTCTGTCTTTCTGAATCTGAAAACCAGGGGGCACTAGAACAGTGTCAATCTCATGGAAAATCCCATTGCTACTTTCCAGATCACTGAACACCACTTTGGCTTTATTATTGATGTATATAGTATCCTGAAAACAAATAGCGAGCATGTCAATATGCATAACATGGATCTTATGCAGTCATCTTTATCTGAATTATCTATGCATCAGGCACACTGTACCTCCGAGTACGTAATGGTGAGGATGTCACCGGTCAGTGTGGTCAGGTTACGAGGCTGTGTGAGGTCTTCTGGGAGGAGGGCACGGCAGGCCACTATGTGGTACCTCAGGATTTTGGCGTTTTCCGAATGAGTCCGCTTTACAATGTCCTTAAACTAAACAATAGCAGTGACAATAACAAAACCTGCTATCACATCACAATTTACTCTTACTATTCATGATACTCATTAAGAGATAACAATGGGTGAATCACATAAAACCTGTTGAAAACACATCCAGATTATATTTTATTTTATATTCTGATTCTGATTCATGTACCATATTTTCTTACTAAATACTCATTAACATAATGCATCGTAAAGCTTCCGAGTTTGTAATTCTCTTTTTCTATTCTTGAGTTTGTCTCAGTGACAGTCTCATTAGGACATATTCTTTAGAGGTTTTGTGTTTTTCCTGACTTTAAATTCAGTCACATGGCACAAGGACTTGATGGATAATCTTCCAGCCAGTTATGGCACAAACTGATAGGTCCTCTATTTGTAATCTGTCAGCCAATCAGATTGCATACTATGCAAACGAGCTAATAGGCTCATAATTTGTCAGCCAATGAGCTTGCATGCTGCCTGTACCTCTAACATTTAAATAGCCAGCTTTAGCCAATTGCCCAGTTTAGTCAGTTGCTGTATGGTTAGCAGTTTTGTTGCTCATGGGATAAAACTTGGGGTGAGTAAATTATTATTATTATTATTTATTTAAATGCTGAATTTCTCACTCAAGCGCAAATATCCTATTGTTTTGCAGGAGGTCATTTTTAGTGATGGGAAATCGAGGCTTTCTGAAGTGTTTGAGGCTTTCATGAAATTGTGCCGAAAAACGGTTCGTTACTCGAAGCTTTTAACACAGTGCGCACTAGCGACACCTGGTGGTCAGACTTGGTTTCTCCACCAAATCTAACAAAACATTGCAGAGGATGGTTTGAAAGTTAATCTGTGCCAACTCGTGTCCTGCGCAGTCCTGTCAACGGATTCACATATTGATCAATATAAAATATACAAGTGTGTGATTATAATTAATAATTGACGTGAGTAGTAGCAAAAATATTTTAGGTGAGCTGTTTGGGGTCTCTGAGACCCCAGCTATAGAACATGATAAAATGCAACAGAGGTGTGACGTGCATTCAGTTTCTGTCTGGTGTTGAGTTTATTCTAACCCCCCCCCTAGATTTTAAAGTCTTATGTTTTTCTTTGTTTGCTGATGAGCTGTGCGGCCTCTCTCCCATTTGAAAACTAACTGTTATTTGGCATGTATACATGTGTTTTTTTTTTTTGCATTCTTGCAACTTTGAATGGATGACCCCTGCAAAACACCCGTGGCTGTGGTTGAAGACCAGAACCTATGCAAGAAACTCCATCTCATGCTCTAACTAGTTTTAATGTTGTTGTAGCAGTAATAATCCATAGGTGAATTATTTTTTTTGTGCCATTTCAAATTTCTGACAGTTTTGTAACTCTAAAATGTTTAAATGCACTGTTAAAAGTAGTAATTGTGTTGTCCTTATCTAGACACATAGATGTGATGGGAAGTAATGTTTCCAACACAAGTTTTAAGAGTGTAGCAAAAGTCTTTAATACTATTGAAGTTTACTGCTGTAAGTGTGATTTTAAGTCACAATTTTGCTTAATCTAATCACATTTGAGTCTTACCTCTGGTTTGTTGTAAGCGTCTGCATTAGGTGCAAAGACTGTGAAGGGGCCACGACTTCCGAGTTCAGGTATATTATTTCTCTGTAAGTTCAGTAAGATCAGTCTCAGAATTTCAGGCTTAAAACATCATGTTAAAATGATTAAGAATAAGCGTACCACCAGTCCAGTGTAAAAGTCTCCTAAGTTTCGGTTTCGAATCTCCTAAAATGAAAGAAAATAGTTACTGTTAAAGTATTGGTTCACTTGTGTGCCTGTTTATATTTTGCTGTACTTCTCACTCTTTGCAGGGTGCCTTTGCAGGTTTCTCCGTCTCCAATAAAGCCAGGCCTACAAGTGCAGTTCCTTTCCAGGGGTCCTGTCGTGGTACATTGGGCGTACCTGTGACATCCTCCGTTTTTCTGACAGAAAATAAGTAATAGTTCCATGTTCATGTTAATCTTTGAGCTGCAACAATGTCACTTTTAATACAGTGGTTTTCAACTGGTGGGTTGTGATTCAGAATGAATGAACAAACTATTGACTTAAAACATTAAGAAATGAAGTCTTTTGATTAAGTACAAATTTGGTTTCAGTCAACAACTCTGGTGCTGTTGATGCATGTGATATTCTGTGTAAATCTGTGTGATGACGTAAAACCAGTTGGGAACCACTAATAAAGTCAGTTTAATGCAGTTATCAAAAGCACGTACCTCAAGACATACATTGATGGCTTCACACTGCTTTCCATCCCCAGAAAAGCCTAGTTTGCAGTAACATGCTGTCTGGGAACAAATTAAGTAAATTAATGTACAGTGCCATTACTTCAACTATATTCTATGGATGAGTCAAATCTTTCTCAATTGTGTCTCGGTCATGTCGTACTCCAAATATTTTGCATAATGTGAGAAATGTTTCCTCTGATTTTGTGAACTCATTTAGTCCCCAGTTCTTTTCTTTTGCATTACAGTAATGAGAATGTGCTACTGTTTATACCGTATTGGTAGTATTTGTGCTGCGTTTAATTTACAATGGGAGAAAAAAATGGTTTCTCCACTTAAAAGTGAAAGTTTAGTTATCTTTTCAATAGAGATTCATACCGTTTTGGAACTCTGCAAATAAAACCTTCAGATTATTTTTTTTGTTTTTGTCAAACTTAAGTGTTACTACAACTTGTATGCTCCTTGAACATATAGAGAACATAATGACGTGTTGGGTTCCCTTTATTTTGTTCTTTCAATTTTCTTAATCGGATATTAAATTTACATAAAACCTGCAGAAGTCCCATATTCACTTATACAATTGTATCTGATATGTTTGCTGGCTATTTGAATGGTCTGTTAATATTTGCCTCCTACCTTATTAGGGCCTGTATGAATGCAGTCACCATCTGCATGGCATCCCCCATTATTACCATCCAGGCATGGATTGATGGCTTCAAACACACACACACACACATTAGCTCACATCAAATGCAATAAGTTTCATTTATAATACACAGCACTGCAATCACAATATATACGTTGTGTACTACCCTTTAAACTGGATATTAAACAGACACACACACTTACAAACGCATACTTTTCCATCGCCTGCATAACCCGGGTGGCACACGCATATTCTCCGTCCTGGGAGAGTTCGCTTGCACACAGCATGGACAGAGCAGCCACCGTTATTCTCTGCACATGCGTCCACCGCTTGGGTTGGAGATAACACCACATAGTACATTAAACCACCATTTAGACTCATTGGCTACAAATGTTAGTGTTCGAATGTTTCTTGAGACGCTTACCTGTGCAATATGTGCCGTTGCCCTGAAACCCTGCAGCACAACTACAGTAATATGTACTGTCCACCACGTTCAGCAAGCAGCTACAACACACATCAAACCCAAGTCATAAACGCAATATTTAAAGAGCATAGAAAGTATAAATATCACAAAAGCAAATCCAGGTCACATTTTAGTGCTTAATCAACTGTAGATAAGGTCTTTGCAATTAGCAATAGATGTACCCGTCTTTAGAAATATAGGTATTTAGTAGAATTTATAGAAATACAGAATTGTGGGATTTTTTTTTTCTAAATGCATTGTTCCCAAGAGGACTCAATTAAGAACTTTTTTTTCATGAATTACAAACCACTCCCCCAATTAGAGGAGTACACCTGTTGCTCATTGTAAAGATTCCTATAAAGACACTGTTTGCCTAACAAGCTCTTGATTTTTAAAGAAATAAAACAGAAGTTTATATCTGCAAGCGTGAGTATTTTATTATTTTTTTAAGTAACATTCACCCAAATTCACATTACCACTCAAAAGTCTGGCGTCAGCAATATTTTTTTTTTAAAGAAATCAATACTTTTATTCCGTAAAGACACATTAAATTGAACAAATATACAGTAAAGACTTGCATTGTTTCAAAAGCATTCAGTTTCAAATAAATGCTCATGATAAAAATGAGATGTCCGCATATTACAATAATTTTTGAAGGATCATTTGACACTGTAAACTGGCTGCTGGAAATTTAGCTTTGCCATCACAGAAAAACATTACATTTTAAAATGTATCCAGATAAAACAGTTCTTTCAAACTGTTATATTTTACAATATTACAGTTTATGTACTTTTGATCAAATAAATGCAGCTTAAGTGAACATGGGATACTTTTTTTTTTATTTTTTTTTATTTTATTTTTTTTTTCCAAAAAAACCTTAATCTTACCGATCCCAAACTTTTGAACAGTACATATCCGTTTTGCATAAAGAATGCCTATTTCTAAGAGTATGATTTTTTTTTTCCATTGACTTTTCATGGCCATGTTTCCTTCAATTTGTGGAGAAATATAATGTAAAAGGGAAATATTAATGTAAAAAATGTAAAATTAAAAAATATAAATATGAACTTTTTTTTATCTTTTGATTTTGAGGTGTAATATGACATGCTCTCTAGAGAATTTGTCTCAAACTCAATTCCTGGAGGGCCACAGCTCTGCACAGTTTTGCTCCAACCCTAATCAAGCATGCCTGATCCAGCTAATCAAGGTCTTCAGGATTACTAGAAACTTCCAAGCAGGTGTGATTTGGAGCTGGTTGGAGCTAAACTCTGCAGAGCTGTGGCTGTCCAGGAATTGAGTTTGAGACCACTGCTCTAGAGGTTTCATGAGATTTACCCAAGAATGCTTTGGCAATATAGCTTTTACTTGATACAGATGGTAGTACTATTTGTACTACCATCTGTATCATATACTGTATTAACTTACTTGGCACTGCTGTGGCATTTTCCTCCGCACATATCTGATGTAATAGCTGAAAAGAGTCAACATATCTTTTAGTTACAGATTATATGTTATATATACTCAGATGGTACAAGGCATCAAAATGTATGTATGACTATTTGTGCGACAGGTGAGCATCATACCAACGTTGCAGTTTATTCCTCTCCAGCCCAGATCACACATACAGCTGCCGTCTCCATCCACTCCGTCTTTACAGCGTCCGTTGACACACTTGCACTCTAAACAGAAAGATAGTGCATATGCAAACTTTGTATGAGCTAATTGTTCACAGAATGTGCAATATATGAAAGTATGTGCTTTTAAATGCTCAATACCTTGATCACAGTGAACTCCATATTTTCCTGCTTGGCAAGTCTCACATGCGGTGCCGTTAAAACCCTGGTTACACTGACAGACGCCTGTGCCATTGATCCCATCTACACACACACCATTGCCAAAACAGGACTGACCTTCTGGCCCCGGACACTTCTCACAGGTAATACCATAATAACCTGCACAACACTTTCTTTCCTGCAAACAGAGAGAAATGGTTTCTGATATTTGCCTTATTTTTATAATAAAAGCGGATATGGCTAACTTAAACTGAAATATGTGTGAGGCTTTCATTGTCATTTGCTTGACACTGCAAACTAGTATTTCTTATGTATTTTTGTAATTATAAACACTGATTTGTAGCGCAAATAGTTTTGCAGTTTTCAGTACTTTGTTATTCTTAGTTATTTACCTATAGAAGCTAATGAATCAGAAGTCTTGCGCATTCAGAGAAAATAGCTGGCAAAATAAGGTCGATGTCATCACATCAAGCACAATGAAATTCCAGAAAGCTCTAGCTGCTTGTGAATATGTGGGACTAAATGTGAAAAGTGAATGAATGTATCATGTACGTACAATGTTGACTTTTTCACATTTAGTCCCACATATTCACAAGCAGCTAGAGCTTG